GAGAAATATAAATATCAAACGACAGATGTGAATTTAGCAATTTATAATTGCAGAGGTAAGCTAAATTTATTAGTATTCAATATTGCCAAAAGATTAAAAACATTTTATTTGTAGATCGTGAAATAAACGATACAATCATCGTTACATATATGTTGGAATATTATTATTTATTTTATGCAGATGATTTTGCTAATTTGCTAAAGACGGTTTCCGATGCATATACATTATGTAAAATATTAAATTATGGTATGTTTTCATTTTATAACCTTACCATAATTTGAATATATTGTATTGTTGAATTAATAACGTTTTCATATAATATAGAAACATATACCAGTATTATAAAAAATGAGTGGCACACATTTGTGGATGAAACTACAAAATATCACGAGAAACACTGGGTTGATTCAATAATAAAAAAATTTAAATCACCCGAGAATGATCCAAAGAATACTAAATTTACCAAGAGTAAAAAGGAAAATAATTACAAATTAATTAAACATATTCTGTTGTTTTTATTTATACCACGATGGTATAAACGTAACCAAGATAAATCAAAATTAATTAAAATAATTACGAAGGAAGCTAATGATGACATATTTGATCTCCCAATAATCGAGTACATAATTAATGATTTTTGGTCGAGTGCAAACAGTTACTGTTTCTTTCTTTTTCTTCGATTTTTTATATTTGGATTTTGTTTTATGTTTATTAGTTTAGTTTACATTGGTATTATCCCTGCCGAAGGACTTGATTATGTTTTATTTATGTTAATTAGTGTATTCTATTATTTAGCTATTTATCTATTTATTACTGAATGGTTGCAATTTAGGCATCATGGATATAAAAAATATTGGAAGAGTGTATTTAATTGGTTTGATTTACTTTCAATCATAATGCCCGTGGCAATTATGACAAAAATAATGATTTATACATTTAAATCTTCTAACAACTTTGGGAACATTGAAGCAGGCAACGCATTAATTGTGGAAATTACTTATTCAATTTTTATAATTTGGATTGAATTTGTAAGTTTTTTCTTGTTTTTTATGATCATTCATTATTCAAATTTATTGATTGAATACTATTTTAAATATTTTTTTTAGATTTTATATTTACGTTTAATACCAAGTAATGCAAAATTTCTATATAAAATAAATCTTATCATATCTAGTTCACTTACTAATTTCTTTTCTTTTTTTTATTTAGAAATTTCGTTTTATATTTATTGTGTCATGAATATCTGCAGAAGCATTTATCCATTTCTCATATATTTATTCATTATAATTGCTGGATTCGCACATACAATGTAAGATTATTTTTTTTTAACACATTTTATATTATTTTTAACTAAAACTAATAAAGCAAATATTGTTACATGTAGGTTTATTTTATTTAAAAATTCACATATTGTACCAAAAACAGATAAATTTAAGGAAACATATACAAATCCATTGACAAACGAAATACATAATGTTGAACTCGAGTCCATTATAGATTTTACAGATCCAACAGATAATCCATTTTCCACTTTTCCCACTTCATTAATCGCTACATATTTTTGGACTAATGGTAATTTTGTTCAAATGGATAAGTTTAATTCTTGGTCCGTATATATATTCACTATTATTGCAAGCATTTTGCTTACATTAATTTTGCAAAATATGCTGATCGCTATTATGGGGTAAGATTTTATTAATTATTCTTCATACGTTCCTAGTTGTAATCTATTTAAGGTCTCTTTTTAATCTCTTATCTTTGTTCGTTTAGTAATATTTATGAAGGTGCAGCAGCTAAAAGTAAACAAGCTGTATTAAAATATAAAGCAATACAAATATCAGATTATGATGATTTACAACATCGCTTTGATTTTTGGCGCCAAGTTCCGACATTTGTTCCTTCTAAAAAACGTATTAGAAATTTTAAAAATGCTGTCTATCTTGATGAACATATTGCAGGGTTCGCTAATGAACTAGATTACGATAAAAAATCAATTTGGAAATTTGATAATGAGGGATAAGCAAACATTTATTTATTTATTTATTTAATATTCATTGTTTACTAAAAAACGTAATATGTAATTTTGTTCACTAACTAAAAAATAAAAAATAAAAAATTATTTATTTTTTTAAAAAATGAAATTTTTGTATTTGGAAGACCTATTTAAATAAATAAATAATTATAACTGTTAACTTCTTTGCAAACTCGATCCGTTAAAGTCGAGTCGAAAATAATATCAAGTTCATATAGTTTCGAGACAAGCTCAAAAAAGAACAGTGGAGAAAATTGGGTTGCCTTAAGATATGTTTGGTATTACGAAGACTCATATATAGTTATTCCAGAACATCTTCGATAATTGAGTCTCATTGGATAAACTTTAAATATTTTTCACAATTCACCATTATTTTTTTCGATTATAATTTTATTCATCCGTGATCATTAAATAAGCATACACATATTCCACACAACATACACGATTAAAAAATTAGAGCCCAAGTCGGGCGAAAATTCTATTATATTCAATGATGTAAACATCATACTGCAATTACTATAACTAATGCCTAAACTATTTTTCACATCCACTTAGTCCGTTAAATTTTTAAAGAATTAAACAAATTTCCTGCCTATTCTACCTATCCAATTATCCCCACCCTCAAAATCCGCTAAGAAATTGATATATAGAAATATATCCAGAATTTCGATTTCGGAGCTACTGCAAAATTCCGAAATGACGTTAGTAAAAAATATAGAAAGATATTATACATCCCTCGAGAAATGTCATTGGGATCCACAAGCCTATCAAATGCATTTGTGATTTCACTACACCAGACTTCATTCAGAAAAGAGGTTGGAACCGAGAAAAAAAATCCTTAACCGGTTAATAATTGGTTAAAAAATTCTTTAAATTTGTAATCACAAAAAATTTTAATTCTGCCCGAAAATTAAATTTCAGCCGGAATTAAAATTATAAAAAAAAAATCTTTTACCGATTCCAAACTCTACTTCGGCAGTGTAGGTAGGAAAATTACCAGAAGAAGATTCCGATTATATCCGAATTACGTATTATTTGGATAATGTGCCAAAACTTCGATGCAACTGCGTCAAAAGGGCATGTGTCGATTATCAGATTTTCTCGACGAATATCAAATATATGGAAGTGATCAAGATAGGTAATATCTCAGCTTTTGATTTGAGCGTCTAAAACATCGATTAGTAATGTGATAACATTCTCTAGAATAAAGCCGAACATTAATCTAAATTTGTATGATTTACTTGATCGTTTGAACGGTGATATTGGTGATGTAAAGGTAAGTTTGATTAGAATTTTAGTTTAGTTATTCGTTGATTTAAGCAGAGCAGATATAGGATCAACCATTGATTTATACGATTTGTAATGATATACACCGCGTGACCTTGGAATTGATCGCATCACGAAAAGATTACTGAAAGAATCAACGTCCCCTTCACATATGGTATTTGCGGGAAAGTTCGAGAAATAATGCTATACTACGGATAATTTGTCAGCCACGTATGGATCAACCCGGGAAAGTATTTACTTTCAATATCATACTTTTTTTTTATGATTATTTTGAAGATTTGTTAAGAATAAATTTCTATAAAAAAATATCAAAAAAAAAAAAATAGCTTAAATTCTACTTACCATAATAATGAAAAATTATTCAAAATATCTAAAAAGCTACAAAAAATTCATTCTCACAAAAAATTAAGATTTATTAATTATTTAATTATAAAATATAAAATATTATTTATTTATTTACCTTTAAAAAGATTTGATTGGCTAAAAAAATCAAGTGCGATGATCAAAAAAAAAAAACTGGAGATCTTTTTAATGTAGTTTCGCTGATTGGACGTAACATTGAACTGCGGAGAATGGTCATGATAAAAGAAATTTTAATTTATCCAATATAATCAAACAAGTTGCAATGATCTCATTATCATCCTTCAAAAAAAACCTCGAGCACGACCTCTTGAGATAATTGTAGTGCTTTGACTATAATCTTCCTCATGGGATTTTCGCTCTTGTTAAAAATTGTCTATGAACGTTTTTTTTTTTGAGATTCGAGACAGTTTTTGGGATGAAAGTTTGGCAATTTTGTTAAAATAATGAATTGATAAGTAAATTGACTATTAATAAATGTTGAGATAAAGAAAATTGCAATAACAAAAAATTACATTGGGAGTTATTTAAAATAAGGTCACGTGTATAAGCTAAAATACACGTGATTATCACCATAAATTATAATTTTACGCGGATTTTACGCTCTTTAAAGAAATTGCTCCAAAATTAACCATTTTCACTATTTTCACTTCATCATTTACTGTTACAATCGAACTCTTTTGACATATTGATTGATAAATTGTAACGGCAAACGCAGAGATAAAACAAGAAATAAACCAAATAAAAGCGTGGAGTGATGAAGCAGTTTTCTCCAATTTGCACAAGAAAACCACGTATTTATTCTAACCTTTATCCTTTTAATACAGGCCAGGCACAAATCTATAGTGCCGAGGAATACGCTAAGACGAGAAGTTCTCTTTCATTCCGAGTACTTCAGTCATCGAAGACATCAAATATGCAATGTGTCTTCTATACGAGTAATATAAGGCTGAAACCTGGTAAGATAAGTTCAAGCGAAAAAATAGTCTATTTCTTGCAGAGTCTCCAAATAGTACCCTTTTTTTGTCTTTTTATCTTTACGTTTATTTTTACATACTTACTAGAGCCTTAGTTGCAGCCAGATTCCTGGAAGAATTCTATAACTTAACAAATAGTTTAACATCAAGAGCTCAATTACGATATTTATTGGGCCATTAATTAAACCGGAAATGATATTGATGTGCGACAGAAAAATATTTTATACACAATTCAATAGGTAAATAAATCAAAAGAAGCGTACCTCCGCAATATGAAGAAGTGCGGCGGAATTGTCTGAGATGAAATTTTCAGACAAGGCAATTATACATGATTTACCTAATTTACCCCAGGCTCTGATTGGCTGGTATATTTAACTATGTTAATTGTCACGTACTGAGGGGGGAGGGACAAATAAACATCAACACCTAAAAAAATACTGTCCCCCAGATACTTAATAATAATTGAAACACTACCGGTGTCGCCGGTGATAAATCACCTAAGCCCTAACCCTAACCCTAAGTAATCTCAATTATACCAGCCAATCAGAGCCTGGGGGATAAATTAGTAAACCCTATGCAAATTCGGTATAAATATTTTTTGACGCATTTACATAAAAGTTTATTTCGTTTATTTCTGATTTGGTTTTCCATTAACCTTCCCAATGGAAATTAAATATTCGGAAAACGTCACCGATAATGTCTGGGTTATTTTAATCATCCGGATATCGATATATCCGGAATTTGTGCCGAATTATGAAAGGCCGGAATTTGAAAGATTCACGTAACAAAAAAACCAAATGTAAATCTTAGCACAATTATTTGTAAATTTTGAGAATCTATAATAGTTTTTTTTATGTTATTGTAAAAATTAATTTAAAATTTGTTTATCCTTTTTTTGAGTTAGTCTAGTTCAATTTGATCGGAATTTTTCATGTCTGGACGGACATCATCTTTTCATAGGGCTGGACAGAATAAATGAATGCACAACTAGTTTGCTAGTATTTAATTTTGAAATTTATTCGAGATTCTCAAGTAATATTTCGAAGCTTTAGGATGGATTCCTTACAATCATTAGCGAATTATACAGTACTTTAATGAAGGTGGTTTCAGTATGGTTTATGGTTTCATTTGGTAAGATGGACTATGTGCTTACGTTGACTTTGAAAAGCAACGCAGTGATCTACGCTGGTGTAATATCACTGTAAAAACGCCCACATTCTATTTAATTAATCACAATATTTACATCAAAAATAAAGTTCTTTGTGGTACCAGTTCATTAGCATATCGAAAATCATACCATTCTTTATTTTGTTTTTTGTTTGTGTTACCAAAACTCTTTCATTCATTACTTTCTTTATTAAATTATAATTGATTTTTTGTCCCAATTAAGTAATGACTCACTGCGCCAAATTATTTAACAACTCCGGTCAATCGATTATCTTTCATCAGCAAAAACTTGTTTTCTTTTTGTTCATACTGATAATACTATCACTTTTGACAAACATTAGAAACGATTGGTGCGCTTCGTAAGGGTTATTGGTATCACAAATATGAATGATTTGGACGCGTGTTTTAGTAATTTTTTTTTATAAATACATGCTTCATAAATTCAAAATTCCAACGTTTGAAAATTTGCAAACATTTTAAATCCCTATCCAAAAAAAAAATTCCTTATTTAAAAATATTTTTCTTTTTAAATTTGACATTTCTAGATCTAGTGGCATATAATCACGTTATCCACCCTTATGCTTTAGTCTAATTTTGAAATGGAGGAAGAAATTAATCCAAAAAGAAAAGTACCAAGAATTACGGTAATTATACATTTCATTTTAAAGATGTGCATAGACCGTGTAATATCACGTGAAATCAACGGTATATTCAAAAATAGCAATTAATAAATGAGACATTTTTAATTAGCGAAATCATCAAATGAGTATGAAAACTAATAAAAAAAAATTAGTGTTATTCATTCAACAAAACAATAGGGATATAAATAAAGTGCTTGAACGATTTCATTATTTCTAATAATGATAAATTTAGCCAACCAACGTGACTAAAAAAAATTGATTTGTAATCCTAAAAATTAGTTCCGAATGCTTTAGAACGTCTATAGTATATACTGTAGTAAATCAAAATAGTAAACAACCCTATATATTATAACCCAATAAAATAAATGGAATAATTCTTTATCTTGATATTCACATTTTTATCATTAACTAATAATAACTCTATTATTTTAAAGCCAGATGAAGTTTCTCCCGTTTCTCAAAAGATCGCCTCATTATCGGTATCTGAATTATCGGAATACTATTATTATAATTGCGAAAAATTCTTGAAACTTAAATCAAGAAAGACCCTAGATGAAAAAAGTACTCAAAGTACGAAAGGCCCAACATTAAAAACCTCAGAGATGCAACGTGGAAGAAAATATGAAGTAGAAGTTGAGAATGAATTAAGAAATTCATATGGAGACAATATTATTAAATGCGAAAACGTGTCAAATGATGCCAATATTAAATTACTAAGGGAAGCGAAAGTTGGTCAAATATTTTGTCAAATGTCATTTAAAGTAAATGAAGCATTTTATGAAAAGTTCAATTTAAAAGGTATCATTGAAATAAAAGATTTCAGACCGGATTTCATTAAGGTTATTAAAAAAAACAACGAAAAGGCTTACCAGATACTTGATGCAAAGTCTTCAAAGGATGTACAGTATTCTCATAAGGTAAAAGTATGGATTTCATTTCTTTAAATTTAAAAATATTTAAAAGATCTAAAATTATTTAACTTCTTTTTCATCCTTGATTATTTTTTAGATCCAAGTGGCCCTTTATGCGTACCTTCTTAATTTAACTGTTCAGGGTATCAACATTTCGACAGAATGTGGAATTTATTTGCCACAATTCGATTTACTAATATTTGATATAAATGATTTACTTCCGGAGATAAAAGTTTTATTTCGTGAAAGGTTACCACGAATTATAAAAACATCAATTCAAAATTTACCTTGGCATTTTGATTCAAGTTGTGAAAATTGTTACTTTGTATATAGTTGTAGAAAAGAAGTCAAAGGTACTCTTGCAATGATTCCAATTTATCACGTAACAAATTAAAAAACCTGAAACCAGAAGAGAATGAAATGAATGATGAATTGTCTAATGGTGCAGACATTGAAGATTTGGTAAAATATTTGGCTAATACGGGTGCCGATGATGAACGAGCAAAAGGTGTTAAAAAGGTTATTAATTATGATGAAAAGTTGAAAAGTTCACCTTATATGAAAATGAAGTCTGGGCAAGCGCAGGTACTGTATGTAATGTAGATCTATTTGCTGCAACATTCAACGAACAGTTACCTTTATTAATCATGAGTACTTTTCAAGTTCGTTGGAATTGCGACTACAGATTTTCCTCAAGATCATAATTTATTAATTACAATGTCATTGGATACCTTATCGTTAAAACCTTTTGGATGGGGAATATGTCTTTATGCACGCGATAAGAAAATCAAACGAGATTCCAAATCATTTTCAATAAATGAAGCTTCTAACGAGGAGGCATACTTCTCTCTTATGGATAAATTCACTACTTTATTGGAGGAGTGTTTTGAATACCTAAATTCAAATAATTTAAGATCTTGTGTCTTTGTTTATTCTAAAAAAGAAAAGGAATACATTCAAGATTCATTAATAAATATAATAAATATTGAGAATCCACAATCGGATTTAGATCAAATTAAACGTAAAGCCAGGAGATGTTTATTTAATTTATTTGAAGATCCGAAGTTGTTATCAGTAATTAAGGATCATGAGGAACTCCCAGCATATAACACGCGTGAATTTCCAAAGTTGGTAATCTTAGAACAAACGATCAGGGAAAATGTCGCAATTTGCGTCCCCGGATTTTATCAGTTGAAAGATATTTGGGAAGAATTAGTGATGCCAAAATTGCGTAATAAAGCATTGGTAAATTTTTTAAAATCACATATTAAAGATATTGATTTAGATAGCATTTTTACTTTATGGAATTCTTGGAATTCTGCAGTCCCGGAACACGTGAATGAACACCATCTTTTAAGGGTTGATTTTGGATATGAAGTAATAAAAGCTTATTATGAATTACTTAAAGAATCAGCTTTCGACAAGATCGACAAGATTGCTTCTAAACTAGTATTTGACGCACCATTATTTACTTTCACTTCCACCAAAACTTTTAGAAACCATTATTTGGGTAAATTATATTATTTCAAACTACTTGAAGCAAAAGCTGAGTGTAAACAACTAAAGTCTCAAAGAATGAGTGATTACTTGCAAAATCAATCTACATATGGAATTCAAATTCAATTTGAAAAAATTATCAAAAATTCGGAATTTTTGTCGCTATTTACTATTTTAAGTAACGAACAAGAATTAAAAAGTATTCCACATTCTAAAGGATTTATGCTTGTTGAGGATAGTCTCGAGGTGTGTATACTAAACAACTTAATTTATAAAAACTAGTATTAATTATATGATAAAAAAAAATTAGGGGATTCTGGAGGCTATTAGATTTCCAGATATGAAACATATGGATTCCATTGATGTTTATTACGAACCCAATTCAACAATATTAGGTAATCGAGAAATTGACTTACAAAATCAAAAGGTTTATTTAACGGGGACCGTTAAAATCAACCTTTACAAAGATAATATATATCGCCTTTATAAAAGATGTATCGATTTTAACACGAATAACATCTTAGAAATGTTGATTGAAATTGATAATCGAGGTGATAAGTCAGTGTTTATGGTTAGTATCTTTTTTTTTATTCGAATACTTTGCTATTTTCATTGCACTTTTTTATAATTAAATTAATTTAGGATCTCTTGATAAATACAAATGATTGGTGTCCTAATCCTATAACTCTGAAAGGAGGGCAGCGTAAAGAAGAATTATTGGAAGAAAGACTTCAAATTCTTTCGCAACCAATCGTAAATGTTATAATTATTAATTTTGAATTATAAGGAATCATATACTTTATTAATAATTTCATTGGCTATTTACAGAGATCTTCCAAAATTTCGTCATTGATCTCGGGGTATTTGAATAAGCCGATTGGTACAAATATAAATAATAATTACATAATTGGTTTAACAGCAAATTCAAGAGATTCCATTGAAAATTTGCTGAAACGAATTTCTGAGCTAAAGCATGTGAAGATTTTTAGTATGGTCAATGTATCGAACAATAAATATTTAAATGAAGGTGTGATTGAATGTGAAGCAAGTACTTTACCTGCAATAATTAACAAGATTGGAATTCCCGGAAAACCTATTGTAATTGGAGGTACAATTTGGGATTGGTATAAATTAAGGGCAGCATGGAATGGAAGGACTAGGTGCGATATAATGATAATCGATCAAGGTTCCAAGGCAAGTAAAATTTGATTTTTATTCTCTGTGTTAATATCTCAAAGTAGGAATATTAAATTTTCTTTCATTTTAATAGATATTAGTTTCAGATGCTAGTATTGCAATTGAATGCTTGAAGCCAAAAGTCGGAAAATTAATAATTTCTGGAGATTCGGTAAGAAGAATTATAAAATTTTAACATTTTTAAACTTTTTTATCTGATATATCTTCGATTATTATATTATTAATATGCAGGAATTGAAACCTTTTATTCGAAATAAATATCCTACTAATTATCCTTACTTATTTGGATCAATCCAAGAATGCTTGAATTCGTTGATAAAAGATTAAATATTGAGAAATAACGAGCATTAGGCACACGTGCCTATAAATCATTAGAGAAACGTGACATTTAGGTACTTTAACATGAGATATTTTAAACTTCAAAAATTAACAATGATTTAACTACATTACGAAAATTATGTAATATATACATATTATTATTATTATTTAATTTTGGATTATAAATTTAAATAAATTTATCAAAATATAAAATATTTTTTTTTTTGAATTTACAAGATGCTTTTTATGTATGCATGTTTTCAACCTTAAAATACCTAAATTTTCAATGCTTGAATCTTTTTTTTAAAAAAAAATATCGATTATTTCAATATTATTGAAAATATTAGAAGAATTCATTTCTGAATGTGAAAAGGATGATAAAATGAAAGTAAGTGTATATATGAATTATGGTATTACACAGAAACAAATATTATATCACCCCAAAAAGTAAGAAATCCGTAAAAGAATTATTTTTTTTTTTTGGTCTGTTGGTCTGTAGAACGATTATTTGCGATTGATAGACATAAGAAGTAAATAAAATTATTAGTAATAACTAGAAATAATTCGTCAATCGCCAACTGTTTACAGCTTTAATATAATATAAACTTGATCAATTGTAATTGCCGTTTCCAAGAATAAAAAAATGCATAATAGGGGATTGGAATCGATTCAAAAGTAGAATGTATATTAAAATTAATATATCGATTTTCGATTACGATTTATTCATAATTTTCAAATGTAGATATTCTGATAATCTGCAATAAAGCTAGACAAATGCTTTTACGCTATTTTTTTATGTACTAATCACATTAAAAAAAACTTTCACCCAAAATGCAAATAATGACAATTTAAATCCAAAGTATTACATAATCAAATTGATTCGCTATTTTCATTAACCATAATTAGAAACTATATCATTGTGGCGTTATTTAGTGTAACATACAGTCAAATAAAAATAAAAAAAACCGAAGCTTAACGACTGTTGGAAATTATAATTTAACTTGTATGCTATCGTTCATCCTAAAAAAAAATAATCTTTGAAGTTCGAAAGATTTGAGTTTTTTTTTTCGCAGATGATGCATGAATCCGACGGTGGCTGAAGACTATTCTTCCAAGGGTTTACAAAACTTGAAGTACAAAAAAGTAAAGGATTTGCTGGCAACCTTACAAACGCAACGTATTGCAAAGTTTGTCAAACGTCGGAAGCAGAATTCCACACAACGTTGATCATCATCCTTGTTTTGTTTGATTAATGAGAAAATGTTACCTTTCTTTGACAATTGCCCAATCATAACTTGCATAACAAACAAAGGATAAAAGTTGTATAAAATGAGCAAATTTTTTTTTTAAAAAAAAATTAAAATTAACAATACCAAATTCTTATTTCTCTTATCTCATAAAAGTACAGAAAATTTTTGAAAATTTTATCATTTTAATAAGTAAAACAATGGATGATGAGGATAAACCTACCGTTAGAAATGTGACAAATGATCAATCGGATTCTTTATTGACCGGAAGTCAATTAGCGACTAGCGTTTTCGAACTGGCATCATCAACGGTTATTCCTTTCACACAATTTATGCCGCTTATTAAAGATGTATCCGAAATTCTTAATAAGGTTACGGAATTGTATAGAACGGCTCAGCATAATAAGAATATAACAAAAATTTTGACGGAACGTATTGCTGCAGCATATTCTTCTGTGTGCATTTTACAAACAAGAGAGGATTTGTTTACCTCAAAGAATTATTCCAGCTTGCAAAGATTGGTACATGTTCTACAAAAGATGAAAAAATTCGTTGAAGAGATAACACAATATAATACCGTGCAAAAATTTTTAGGAGCAAAATTAATTGAGAAACATTTTGAAGATTTATGTAAAGAGTATGATAGTAGCATTAGTCTATTGAACTTCACCTTAACGGTTGGTTTTCAATTTCATGCGGAAAAGGAAAAAAAGATCGTGAAAGCGGATGTCAAGGAGCTTCTGATGTTTCAAGAAGCCTTGGCGGAAAGTATGGATAATTTGACTAATATATCTAAGCAACTCGATAAAAAAGTTTCTCAAACAAATGATAAGATGAACTCAGTTGTCGAAAGGGTTAGTGAGATGTCAATTACTATGGAGAGTTTGATAAATGAAAAAAAAGGTGTAAATCAAACCAAAATTGATAATATCTTTCAAGAATCTTTACTTCCCTTAAATAATTATTATGCGACTAAAGAATCCAGAGGTGATAAATTGAGAAAATATACTGATAATACAACTATGGTGGAACTTGCTTTTAAAACTATTGATGAAAAACATTATAATCAAGTTAAAAATCAAGTAACGATTTTTAAACAACTTAAGGATTGTCAAAATATCATTCATTTTTATGGTATTACTTCCAATGGTCTAAATAATGATAAACGTAAATACTATTTAGTAACAGAATGGGCGGAACATAAAAATTTACGTGAATATATTTCTTTACATGGACAAAATATTGAAACGAAACTGAGATTGAGATTTGCTTATGATATCGCTAAAGGGTTAAATTTTCTTAATTCCGTCAAGGTAACGAATGTTAAACATTTTTATGTTCGACCGTTTTTTACTTTTCCTTTTTAAATTCTTTATTTAATTTTTTTTCATTCATTAGATTGTTCATCGGGATATAAGATCAGAAAATATTGTGATTACAGAGCATCAAATTGCAAAGATAACAAATTTTAAGTTAAGCAGAGGTATCAATGATGCTTCCGTTAACCTAGCAGTAGATAGAGATTGTGCTCGGTATAGTTCTCCTGAAATGATAAGGAGAGAATTAGCTGGAGAAGATACGGACGAGAAACAAAAATATGACACCAAATGTGAAGTTTACAGTTTTGGTATTCTTCTTTGGGAAATTGCGGAATGTAAGATACCATACGAACAATTTGATGATTTTATGGAAATTTCCAAAAATGTATTAGATGGGTATCGAGAACTTTTTAATAACCATGATATTCCGGATAAATATCAAAATCTCGTTCATGATGCTGTTGATCCAAATCCGGGACTTCGTCCCATGTTCTCAAAAATGCTGATAGACCTTAAGGACGTCTTTAAGAATGGTCATTCGAATGGTCGAAAACCAATCCCTGTACGAAAAATGTCTGGTACAGAAATGATTGACTGGAGTTCATTCAATTATTTGTCAATTGATAAGGCGGTTGAGGAGCATATGAAAAATAATATGGAAAAGCAGATCTTGTACAGATGTTTCGATGCTTATGCCAACTTGGATAATCCTAAAGCAAAATATTATAAAGCCTATTACATTTCAAAAGGTTGGTCCGATCTTACCTGTTCTCAAAATGAAAAAGATGCGATAGCCGTTGAACTTTTTAAAGAAGCCGCAGATTATGGTGAGGATTTTCCTGAAGCACAACTTCGTTACGCGACAATGGTCATGAACGGGAAGGGTGTTAAAAAGAACATAAAAGAGGCGGTAAATTATCTTCTCAAAGCAGCTAAAAATGATAATGTTGTGGCCATGTTTAGTGTATCTACTTATTATTTCTCTCAAGGTCAAAAAGAGTTGGGTAATTTTTATTTGATAAAGGCTGCTAATAGGAAGCATGATGGGGCAATTAAATTTTGTAAAACGAATAATATCACCTACTAAATTATTAGATTTGGGATTTTCACTTTCGAATATTTATTTATTTATTTATTATTGTACAGATTAAGATTTCCTGAAATTTTTTTAATAATAAATTGATGAGCTTTTTATTACAATCTCCTTTTAAACGAATATCATTCGATATTAACACTAATGACAATTTTATATTAATCAGAATATTATAAACCCATCGGGATAGATCACATAATTTTCTGTCGAGATCGTACATTTAATACTTGGGTCAACATTCAATGTTTCTACTAAAGAAGGTTTGGCATGCACAGTATCATCGGCATCGTTTTTTTTTTAACATTCCAATAATAAATTTATTATATTTCAAACGACCACTTTGATAATTTTCAAATTATTGTTATCACATTTGTGTACTGAATTTTTGATAAGTTACACAAGGATTTCAACGTAACCGCATCAGTCAAAAAAAATTTATGTAATACAGATGGCTTTGTCATCTTATTTTTTAAAATTTAAATTTTAAATTTATTGCGCCATTTTAAGTCATTTCCAAACTTGATTTATTTTTTCAAGATGGGAAGTTATTCCTTTCATTTGAAATTTTGTATTATCTATCATCTTATAATCAATATAATCAATCTAAATAATATATAAATAATTAAGCTGCTTTAACTTAAGAGTAAAGATGTACGGAAGCTCTTTCCAATAAATATGCCATATTTTACTTTCATGTGACCAACTGACATGATACAAAAACAGATTCTCAAGTAGGAATACTTTTATCACTTTTATCTTTTATTTGCAAAATATTTATAAAACATGTACCACATCAATAAAACTCATGGGACCAAAGATTTTCTTTGCGTTACTACCTTGCAAATCAAAACGGAGTCATCCTCCGATATAAAATAATATTTCAATTTAGTTTACCCGCATTTTCCAAATAATTTTATTTCTTTTCATATTCTCCTTTACAAAAATATATATACAGGTTATGGAACCAATTGTTAATGAAAAGTGTTATGGGCGTTGTAAAGAGTGTATGATACTTCATACCGATTATGATTGGTGTCAATCATGTAACGCTATTAGTTTTCAACAAAATAAAAAAAATTGGACTAGTGGAAATAAAAAAATTGATGAGCTTATTTTAAAAACCCAATCCATAGCAAAAAATCACAGAGAAGTAATAGAATGGATCGAATATGATATACTAAAAAATATTTCTTATTTGGCAAAAGGAGGATTTGGAGTGACCTATAAAGCAATTTGGAAAGATGGATTTATTGTCAAATGTGATTCTAAAATAAATCAATGGAAAAGATATAGTAATCAAGTTGTTGTTTTAAAACTTTATCACAATTCACAAGATATTACAAATGAATTTTTAAGTGAAGTAAGATTATTTTATCATTAACCAATAAAATCTTTATAAATATTATATTAATTGTTACTCTTTTCAGATTAAGTCACATATTGCTATGAATGATTCAGGTCGCGTAATTCAGTTGTATGGAATTACCAAAGATCCAAAAACAAATGATTTTGCGATGGTAATGGAATATGCAGAAAATGGCGATTTAAGACAATATTTAAATAAATGTAAGTCAATGATGGATTGGTTGACTAAATTGAAAATTTTACGTCGCATTGCATTTGGTCTTGGAGAAATTCATTTTAATAAATACATTCATCGTGACATTCATTGTGGTAATATTTTAATCCACGGAAAAAAAGGAATATCAATTACTGATTTAGGATTATGTCGACCTGCAAATCAACCAAATGACAGAAAACTATATGGAGTGTTGCCTTTCTTAGCTCCTGAAATTTTAAGAGGAAAAAAGTATACTCAAAATAGTGACATTTATGCATTTGGAATTGTGGCATTCGAAGTAATGACTGGATTTCCTCCTCATAAAGATGTGGCCGATGACCATTTTTTGCATATAGAAATCTGTAAAGGGTTGAGACCAGAATCAACTTATAAGGTTCCTCGGCAAATTTTAGAAATTATCGAACAGTGTTGGGATGAAGATCCTTTAAAACGTCCTAAAGCAAATGAATTATACGATAAATTTAAAAATTTAGAAAAGGACCATGAAGATAAAAATTCATTAATTTATAAACAAATTCAAGAAGCGGATAAAAAGAATAAACAATCGTCTTCTGAACCTTTATCTACAACAGTTCCTCAAGAAGTTTATATAAGTAAACATTTAGATATTAATAATGCAGAATGTTCTGGTAAGCATCATTGCGTCTAAGATTTAATAAGTATATTAATAATATAAGTTTTGCTTTTTTACTTTTAATATAGAAGAACGTTTAAAAATTGTTTTAAGTTAAACCAGGTGCCGGACTCTCAAATTTTAATTTTTTAATATTTGGGTGGTTTTCTATTAAATTATGTTACGGATCATATAATTTATTATGGTCGTAAATTGGTTTTAATAGCAAACCGATGTCCTTTCGTGATTATCAAATTTTAATTTTAACCCTTTCATAACGCCCAATATTACTTGAAATTTTTTTCGATAATCTTTGTATCCACCAAATTTTACAGTATCTTATCAAAGATCATATAATTTACTACTTATTGTTCATAAAATATCTTGGAATGGAAAATTTGTACAAATAAATTATCATAAAAATTTGCGTTATTTATACCCTGTCGCACTAATTGTGACGTAAAATAAAAAACATCGTAATTTTATTAATTATGCTAGTTTTTTTCATGATTAGTTCTGTATTAATGATATTTTAATTTATATTATTTAGTACTTAAAAAAAAACTTCTAATATTACAATTTTGAATATTAATATTTTCGATAGTAATTTGTGGCATTTCTTTATTTGTTTTATGTTCTTTATGTTCTTGTAAGAATTATGTATTTCGATTGAGTGTTGACTTTGATGGTATAATTGTGAAGCAGAAATAAAAAACCTATAAAATTTTTATTATAATAACTTGAATTTTCAATGTATTTTCTTTTAAAGGAATTCGTTTTGTATCATCCATATATTTTTGGGGGGTACAATAAAATTAAGATTCATTGTATTATATTAGTAACGCGAGAATAAGTTTGAATGATGGTTTGTAAATCATTATCAGTTGGAAAAAATAATCTTTCGTAGGGTCAATACTTGCTTCTTTAAAAAAAGTTGTACTGATTTCGTACAGGTTTCGTACAGGTGTATACTGGAATCATACAATTTTTGTGTATAGCATACAAAAATAGTCGTACAGAAATTTAGCAGAGAAATCGTACAGAAAAAATTTGAAATTTGAATTATATATTGAAAAATTAAAACATACAGATTTTGTATACGTATGAAAAATTTAATAATACTAAAAGTGGGTAAATTAAATGAATTAATTTTTTACAAAAATTACAAATAATAACAAACAGATATTTAAAATCTTTCTTGGCGTTAAAAGTAAGCTTGCAGAGCAGACAAAAATACTACCTATGACAATAAATTTAAGCTAGGAAATAATCATACAAAAACTTTATTGATTAGTACAGTTAGTTAATTTTTCTAATTCAGATATTTAGGAAAAATGTACTAAAAATTTTAATGTATGGGTACTAGGGTTATTTCACGTTTTGGCACAAAAAATTGTAGTGCTTTTTTTTTGACGCAAAAACTACACAAAAACTGTATGGGATTTTTTTCATTGGGCATTAGCTTTTCTTGTTAAGGTTTCCTTTAAAATTTTAAAAAAAAAAATAATTTATTTATTCGTTTATTCAAAAAAAAAAAATAAATAAATAATGGAAGATTTTTTTTAATTACCACCTTTATTCTTTAAGTTTTCGTAAAAAAAGCAAATAAAAAATTATTTAACAAATGAGAAAATTGTAAGTAAAAATTTTACCAATAAAAAAATGTAGAAGTTTAACGAATATAAAAAAGTATTATATATGAAAGTACGTATCATAAATCACACGCTTCTGAGTATAACTTAGGATTCAAAATTCTACAAAAGCATAAAATGAATTAAAATCATGTTATTAATGAATTCAACACGTGGAGCGGAATAAAATTATTCTTGGAGGTTTATATAATTTCAAATATGGCAAATTCTTATATTAACACTAGGTAACGGAAATCTGTTAAAAATCCAAAGCTATTGTTACACCTGATCATTTGTTCTTAAATGCCATGTATTGGCCTTGACCGAAAATTCTATTATTTATTATTTATTTATCAGTTAAAATTTTTTTATAGATGAAGCAATAGAAGTATCAAAAAAAGTGGGTTTATTGAGAAAGTATTAAAATACATCAAAATGTTAACTATTATTTATGTATGTTATTCTGTAGGTTATTTTATAGTTAATCTTTTTTCAATTTCTTATTAAATGAAAGGTTGAGAGGAAAGTTTTATCATTAAGGTATTTGCCATTTAAATTTTGAATGTCATACTTGAGAATTTTCAATAATCATAGAACTACATAAAATTTTGATTTTATGAATTAAAAATTTGAATCTAATAATCTAAATTTAGAATTTCTCCTAAAAATAAAATCATTTGTCGGTTTTTTATTATTTTTTGGATTATAATAATTATCGTCAGTTAGATATGGTGCCTTGATTTTTGGTGATACTTGCGCTTCTTCTTTCATATTGTCATCAAGTTTAACTTCCATTGGTTCTTCTTCATTCTTATTATTCTTATTTATTGGCCTATAATCATTGTCCAAGAAATATTTAACTAAATCTTTATATAAATCTTTTGGTAGTGCTTTTTTGTATGGTAGAACTTTATTCAAAAATTCCCTAGAACTTAAATTGTAGAATCTGATAAATTGAATACATTGCTTTAAGGTATTATGCAAAGCATTAAAATCATCTTTTGAATAGCTAGAAGGATCCGAAGAAAGATCTTGATTCTGAGCGAGTCCCCATTTTAGAACATGTTCCCAAACTTGGACATCACTCATAGAAAGTTTCACATTTTGAATAAGAGCAACTAGAGATTTTTCTGGAATTGAAGCAAAATCGACAGACCTAAAAATTTTTTCTGGCTCTTTAGACATTATATTTGTACAAAATTTTTGAAGCTCCAAGAAAGAATCATGTTTAAAGCTTGTTTGATATATTAAGATAAAATGATTTTCCGCCCAATTTACTTTATTTTCAATTAAAAATGATTGAATATGGTTGACTAATCCTTGAAGACTTAATTCATTAGCGGCAATCAAGATATTAATAATATCTTTAGTATCATTATCCTTCAAGGAAAGTTTTGCGCCATAAATATATCTTAAATAAATAAAAAGTATGTTTTGTAAAAATTTAAGAAAATATATTCATTAAAAAGAACGTCATTATTATATAAATTACCTCAATATGATGTGAAAAGTTTCAGGCAAAATATTTGGCAATTTAATATGGGTCAAAGTTTCATCATTTCTCTTTTTATTAGTGGACAAAACTCTTCGCAAATAAGGAGAACGATAATATAGAATCATCATGTGAGCACGAAATATTTTTACATAAGGATCATTTCCAGCTTCTATTGTAATATCATAAAATTCATTATCGTTATCCTCTAAACATTCAAGAAAGTTTTGCGATAATTCCAATAAAAACGTGTTATCAGCCATTATATTTTAATTTTCTTGTAAAGGTTGTATTTTAATTAAAAATTATAAAAAAAAAAAATTTTTGAAATGGAAATGATGATGTTTAATAGAATGTTGCACGGTTTTACGCCTTTGAACACAACGATGATGTGACACAGATTAAACAATTTACTGCTCACTGTAGACTTTAAATTTGTGATCTTAATTTAAATTAAGCAATAATCTTATGATATTATTAGCTTTTATCATCTGCCTCAATTTTGCCATGTGATTATATAAAAGGCGTCAAATAGATTTCAATCAAAAATTTATTATTCTGATTATTTATAATAGTAATGAAACACAGATGTTTTTATTCAGATATAAAATTAAATTTTTATTACGTAAAAGAGGTGATAATTCCAACAAAACACTGATCTCTATTTTCATAAAGCATCCATATTTTTTAGAATGCATAATCTTCTATAAAACTAAGATTCGACGAATTATGTTCTCTCTTAAGTAATCAAATTCACCATATATACAAATCACGTCAACTGATCCTAACTTCCAAAATTATTTAAAGAAATGCATTTAAATGTATTTTATATTTAATATTAATAATAATAACGATCATATCATATAATAATGTAATATTTAGAAATGTAAATATTTTATATAATTATTAGCTTATATTGTAATACAGTCAGAACTGTCTACAAACACCCACATCATATATTAATGTATGTGATTTGAAATCGAAAATTAATAATCATTAATAATGTTCATTATTTCAAAATGATAAATACCAGCAGCAATTGGTCACGTATATTAATAACGATTGCGTTACACAATGTAATAATTTCGTTTATCCGGTATCCCGTGATTTTTTATAATTAATAATGACTATAATAAATCGGTTATCAGGCAAAAATCATTATCAGGCATTAATAATTTTTATTAAGCATTAATTTGTATTACATTTAAAACTAATTAATTATATATAGTACAATTTGTATAATAAGTTTGATAAATAATTATTTTTTTTTCCTTTCTTTTTTTCTTTTGACTTGTATTTAATTCGGAAGATGAAATTTCTTGTAGAGGCCTCTTATTTTTTTTATTTAATAGTTGCGAAGCCTTATTAAAACCATTGGATGACTATACAATTTAAATTAATTGTTAATATAAAAATATAATAATATTGATATATTGATATAATAAAAATGTAAAAATACCTTGTCTTGTAATGCATCATCTTTATTAATACCATCATGTTCTACAGTTCCAGTCAATCTTTGCATAACTGAATTAAGAATATTTCTTTTTTTTCCTTTGTTATTTTAAGATAGTTGCGCTTTCCAGCTAATGAACTGTGACCTGAAATTGCCATTCCTCTAATTCGTTTTTCTCCAAGTCCTCAATCATAATACCATATTCCTTTGGAAATTGCTAAAAAAAAATTAAAATTAAGTAATAATTCAATTAATAATAAATAATTAAAAAATATTTACCTGATGCATTTGTTGAGATTCCTAAATAAAATGTTTTAGTTTTACAATTTAAAGGTCTCATTAAAATATACTTACGAATATCTGTATTAGATTCAGCCACACCCTTAATACTGATGGAAATGGTATTTCAAAGGTAAATTGATTACCTTTTAATCCTCCTTGATCATTTTTTTGTTGAAATTTCTTAATAATAAATCCCTTTTCTATATTTTCAAATTGGTCAATTGGTAAATTGTAATATTCGCCACCTCGCGAACATTCTAGCAGACAAATCCAAAAAAAACTTTTCAAAGCAACCCTTCAGGTTCATTTGAAGACATGACATTATTAGATAAGATAATTTTTAATTCCTCATTTGTTAAACCTTCATGTAGTTTTGGAGCATCTATTCCTAATCTTTTCATTTCTTTTAAAGTACCATCAAGTGTGGCATGAAGTTTTGGAAAATTCTTTTTATTTAAAAAATATAATTCCATTGTGGTTTGGAATTTTTATGATGACAGCTTATTGAGGTAACAGCATTTTTCAAGGAAGCTCTTGAGTATTTTTCACCTTTTGTTATTTTTATACCATATATAAATTCACACATTTCATTTTCTATTTGTTCATTAAAGAAAAGTGATTCTACAATGTAGGTATAGTTCATATTTTTGCGCTATATATTTAAAATATTGACCTATTTTTCAATGCATTTAACTGTATTTAATAGTATACTGCTTTATTGAACCTTTGAAAGTTCCTTAGCTGTAAGTTTAAAATAAGTCTAAAAATTTATTAGTTATTAAAATTAATATAATTTATAGCTTTAATATGTAAATAACTTACAATTTCCATTAACAGAATTTAGTTTACGAAAGTAAATTATTCGTAAAATTTGTAAAAAAAGAAAAGATATTATAAAGAAATTGTTTGTGGGAAAAAAATATTATTTATTTATAAAAAAAAGTTTTAAAAAGTTTAAAAAATAGCTTAATTATGAGAAACTGGATAAATCACTTATCCGCCACTTTGAGCTAAATAACTACCGCTACCTATAAGATAGCTAATAATAATATTAAGAATCAAATTTTATTTGTGATTTAGGACTCCTGCGGAATCCTAAATCAACCAATCAAATTTGATTTTCCCAATATAATAGTTATTCGGCACGAAGTGCTGAATAACTATTAATTATTTAATACAAAAATTTAAATTTAAATTATTACATTACGTCATACAAAGTTCAAAATCATATGTAAGTCAAATGTTTATTTTCTCATTTTAAACACAAATATTTTTAATCAATATTTGAAAATTCAAATACATTTTTAACAGATGGTAATTAATTTTAATCTAAGAAAATAAATGATTTATTCAGTTGCATATCAATATTTACAAGGATATAAATTATCTGATGTAAGTGTTGTTTATTAATGAATTGTTTCTTTAGTTAGTATCAATAAATTCTTATTTTAAATAATAACATGTTCATTTATTATTGTTTTTATATTATGCCTATTCAATTAATTCAAGCGTTTATAAATAATGGGAATTTTTAACAATAAGGATATTTTTTATCCACTTTAGTGAATTATTTATTTGATAAGTTCTAACATATCTTGCAAATAAATTATGTATACAGGACTACAAAAATGTTTTCAATTCACATTCATTAGGAATGAATAATTATTACCATTTTTAAAAATTAACATAGAATATTAATTGATTATCATGCATATTTAGACATTTACAATCTAAACTAACAAACCAAAATTCAAAAGTAATTGATTTTTAAAAAATTCTTTATTATAATAAAATATTGAATCTGAACAATATTTTTTTATAAAACTATTGTAATCTTTAAAATATTATTATAAAATTTTCCAATAAACTAGCCTTTCATTAATGACTCAATAGATTGATATTATTTGACATTTTCTACTTCTTCTACCATTATCATAATCTTTAATATCACATTATGTTTTCATATAGTTAAAAATGTTCTTCATTATTTTTTATTACTTAAAAATCAATAGTCTTCACATATATTTCATGCTTTTTTTATAATTTACTTAATATTATTTTCTCATTTATCTAATTGCTTTCTTTCATATGCTTTTCATTGCTATACTTTTTATATTGCTTATTAGTTAGCTTAATTTATTCTTATTTGACTAATAATCATTATTAGTCTTTATAGTTTATTACTAACTATAGTATCACTTAAGTAATTATCAATGTTCTTTTAAGTTTTCTTTAATTATTTTATTATCTGAATTATAATTCTTATTCAAGAATTTTTAATTAAATCTATATAATTCTTTCAGTAAATACTTTTTTATTTAGTAAAATATTATTCAAAAATTCACTGGAACTTAAATTGTAAATCTAATAAATAAATATATTATTTTAATATTAAAATCATCTTTTAAATAACTAGAAAAATCTGAAAAAATATCTTGATTTTGAATGAGTTCCTATTTAAAAATATGTTTTTAATTTTAACATCACTTATTAAAAGAATATAATTTTAAATAAAATTAATCAAAGATTTTTCTAAAATTAAAAGCAAAAATAACAGACTTAAATATTTTTCTGATTCTTTAAATATTATATTAATATAAATTTTTGAAAATACAAGAAAGGATCATATTTATAACTTATTTAAAATATTAAGATAAAATAATTTTTCACCTAATTTATTTTATTTTCAATTAGAATATGATTGGTTAATCCTTAAAATTTCAATTCATTAATTCATTAGCAGCAATCAAAATATTAATAAAATTTGCAGTATTATATTCATTTAAAAAAGGTTTGTATAATAAATACATCTTAAATAAATAAAAAAAACTTGTTGTAAAAATCTAATATACATTGAAATTTTATTATTATTAGTAAACAAACAACCTTTTCACAAATAGGAAGAGTAGTTATATAAAATCATTAAATATAATAAAATCTTTACATATAAATCATTTTAACTTCAATTATAATATCATAAATTTTATTATTCTTTATACATTAAAGCAAATTTTGCAATAATTCCAAAAAAATGTATTTTCAGACATAAGAATTTAATTTTTTTTGTAAAGGTTGTGATTTTAAATATGATTTGGAAATAAAAAAAATTAATATATTGATACTGAACCTCATTAAAATTACTATGTATAATTATTTATAAATTTAATATTCTTAACTTTCAACTTCTTCAACATTTTTAACTTTTTTAACATATTTATAATTTTTATATTATTTATTAATTTGATATTTACTTTATTAATTATATTATCAATTTTATTTATTTATTATAAAGTAATATTAAATATAGTTTTCTTATAATTGTAATTTTATATAAATAGGATAGAAAGTTATACTTGTAAAAGAACAACTCAAGAGTATGAATTCAAGATTAAAATCTAAGAATAAAGATCTCTAATCTATTAAATAGAAGCTCTTTTTAAACAATAATCTATAATTTCCTTTCATTTTGTTATAAAGTTATAAAGTTAAACTCATGTAAAATAATTACCAGATAATAAACATAAAGGTTGACCATAATAGGACTTATCTTATAGTAATCATAATCAAATATACACATTATTCTCTATTATCAAGTCAATATTACTCTAAGTTCGATATTTAAGCATAAGGTAAAGATGCTCACCGAAACTCTCTTAAAATAATTTTATCATATCTCTTACTATATTTTTAATATAGTTTTAATTAGTTTTGGCTTTCAGAATTTTATCATACCCCTCATTATATTTTAATATAATTTCAGCTGTTTATTAATTAACTTTTTTGAATTTCGTCTCTCATTTTTAGCATAAGGTTAATAACTTAAATAGTAATTTTTTTTACAATTTATACTAATTTAAAATAGCTAATATTATACATATAATTATATTGATATTTGACAAAATTATCTTTTTTAATATGACGAAATTGACGAAACCGAAATGACGAAACTAGTTTTTATTAATGAACGAAATTATTTTACTTAATTGCCAAAATTATATTTAACTTGATCTAAATTCCTTGAATTAAAATACATTAAAAAATATAATAATTTTATATTTATTCATATAAAAATATTAAAGAGACGAAACTTTTGACGAAATTACAATTTTTCAAAAAAGAGTTTAGTCAGGTATTACTAATTAAAACTAATATAATATAATATAATATTCTGAAGTATTTTTTCTTTAAATAATAGTGTATTTTATGATTTAATTGTGTAGTTAAATATCATAAGTGAAGTCTATATAAAGACACAAGAAAGAATAGAAAGTTTAATTATATTTTATTATATATTAGAAATCTGTCTATTATTTACAAATAAAATAAATGATACAAATAGGAAAATAAATTAAATTAAAAATGAAAGAAAACCTTTATTATATCATTATTTTAATTATTTTAACAGTTTTATAAGTGATAATTGCAATTCTAATGTTCTTTAATAGTTCATGATTATTAACTATATCAAATTATCTGAGTCTCAAAGAAGAATTTATCATTTTCTAAACAACTTTATACATGGATTAGCCCAGATTTTAATAATACTTAAAATTAAATCTATAAGAATATTTGATATCTTGCTAATTACTGATAATCTGAGATCACATTACTATTATAAGGAGAGATTTATTATACTATAATCCTTACTATTAGAATTATTTTTACTCAATTAATATATAGATTTATAAAATTATTATTGCAAGATTTGTATAAATAATGAATTAGTAAGATTATAATTTGTCTATATCGATAAATGTTGTAAAAAAACCCTATAAAATAGTTTTCAATGTATCAAACTTATGGTTTTTTTATAAACTAACGATTTCTATATTTGTATGATTTTTTAAATTTTAAATCTATACAGGTATTTATACTATATTTATCAATATTTAATTATAAAAATTTATAATATTATTATATGCAGTTCGTGACTTTTATTAGTTATAAACAATAGAAAAGGTAAACAGAAGGTTTCTTTATTGAGATGAATTAAATTTACTTATAAACAATAAGAGAAATCTAATATAAATCTACGTAAATAAAGTATTGCCTCAATCGTCAGCATTCTATACAATCAGATATGCAATTTATTATATATTTTCATTATCATTACAAATAAAAGGAAAGGGGATATATACTTATATTATCTATTATTTATATCTAGAGAACATAGGTAACACTTGATACATTCTATTCAAGTGAAATCCCATACTTAAAACCCAGCAAGAACTAATTATTTAGAGGCCTTTTTGTCTTCAAAACATAATAGCCAGATGACTTATTGATCAGAAGACAATTTGGCCTGCAGACAATTTGACCAGGAGACAATTGGGCCATAGATCTACAAAAGTCTAATTAAATACTAACAATACTTAAATTTAAACTAAACAAAAATGGGATACAATGCCTTGAAACTAATATAACATGATAGAATAATTAAATTACTAATATTTCTTTGTAACAATATACTAATCTTGTTTATTATATTGTAAATTAAAATAGGATCTCTATTATTTATTATTTATTTTGAAATAATATGATTATTTGTCAATAATTATGTAATTAGATTTTTATTATAATCAAATATTCATAATTCATAATGGTAATTAGTCAAATAAAGCTAATTCTTTACATAATTTCATA